ATTTTTATTGAGGGAGATGTAAGTATCCGAGATGACAAGTATAAATAAACACCTAAAATATCTTGATTTAAAAGCAAAGTGTTCCTACGCCATTTTTAAAATTTAAAAAAAAAGAGAAAAAGAAACGGGGCTGAATTCTATGAATTTTTCTACGAATATTTCAAATTTCACTCGATTCGAGACAGAGATGGTTAGCCGAACAAACAAAATGCATTGCCCAGGGCGAATGCAGTTTAGCTTAATTGATAACCCGCAGAGTAGAATCTTTTGTTCGATCGTTAATCACGTGGAAACGAACAAAGCGTAGGAACTGACTAACATGGGAACAATACGACCTTAATAACTGAGCAGATGGAACAAAAGCTTTTCGTGATCGCCAATTAATACTAAATACGTATAATGAAGCGTTTGTTATACAACAGGACAAGATACACATTCATGTTTCGCGTCATTTCAAGATCAAGATTTTCACACGTGCGTCAATCAATTGAGTTTATATTCAAACTAATAGTCGATTAATTTTTATTAACATAGGATTAATATAGGAATTTAAATTAATAAAGGAATAATAAATTTCATGCCTTCATTAATAATAATATTAATTTCATACCTTCATTGATAATAATACTAATTTCATATCTTCATTAATAATAATACTAATTTCATACCTTCATTAATAATAATATTAATTTCATACCTTCATTAATAATAATAATATGATTTATAATATGTTTATGTAATGTGGGTTCAGCTCTTCCTTTAAATTTAATTAGAGAAATTACACTAATAAGTTTAATTTTTTGATTTAAATATTTATTTATTACTTTAATAATTTATTGTTTATTATCTTTTATTTATTTAGATTTATTAAACATGAAAAATTTTTTATAAATTTTAAAATTTATAATTGTAAATAAATAAATTTTTTAAGATTATTAATACATTTATTTCCTGTAAATTAATTTCTTTCTAATTTAATAATTTATTTAAATAGTTTATAAATTAATAAAAATATTCAATTGCGATTTCAACGATGTATAATTATTTTAAATTATTATAAAAATATTAATTTTTAGAATTATATTATTATTTATAAGATTAAAATATAATATTTCTTAGAATATATTTATTTTTAAATTGAAATAAGATTGAAAAATGAAATTATATTAGAATAAAATATTGTTGGATTAAATTCAATAAAAATAAATATATTTTTAGTTATAAATTACAAAATTTTATTATTAACGTGCGTCAGTCAAATTAACAATTATTTTTAAGATGTAAAATTATTGTGCTCTCGAGGATGAATGTAAATTATGTAAAAAAAAAAGGTGAAAGAAATCAGAAAAAAATGTGGAATGAAACTTTTTTGTTCGAGGCTTAGTTTTCGAGAAAACTGAGTTTGAAGATTTATCATGTATATTTGAATTTTTGATTCAGGACAGAATAATCAAAGTCATTCTACGCACGAGAGTAAATAAAAATTTCTTTGCTTATGTATTTCGAAATGCATAAAATGTATCAAGGCAATTTATAACGAAACACGTTCAAAATCTACTTTCTTGAAAATGAAGTTTTAAACAAAAGATGCGTGTATTTGCTAAGAAATAAAAGATAAAATATATGTTGCATGTGTTAATTTGATCTCGAATTAAATTTCGACTGGTAGTAGCATTCACTCCAACTTTCGCGAAAGATATATTATAATAATAATATATTGTATTATTATACAATAACACATATATTAATATATTATCAGAGTGTTATTGTATGAAATGAATTTTGTATTTATTGTATTTAATTTAATTTTGTTGTATACATAGGTATTGTAATATAATAACATAGTATATAATAACACAGTATATAATGTAATATTAACAGAGTCTTTGTTACATAAAGTGTGTTTTATATTTATTGCACATATTGTGTTTATTGTAATGTTATAATTTATATTATTGTATTATTGTAAATGTGTATATAATTTAGATTTTTGCATTGTATTTGTTGTATATAATTTGCATTTATTATACTATATTTACCAAGATTTTTGAGTGAGGATATATATTCACAGACGAAAAAGGATTGAATAGTTCAGATGGACTTTGTTTTTATTGTCACGATGTACAGAAAGGAGAAAATTTTGAAAGCTTCTGAAAGCTTCTAAAAAAAGAAACCTTGGAAGAGAAATATTTTTATTATTTACTTATTGGGCGAGAAATATTCGGAAAGATATTTAGGTGACCTCACGTGAGTGAACCACTCTGTAGAATTATTCAATTTCAAGCAGCATCGATGAATAGAATGCATAAACGTGGATAAAATAATGCGACGACTTGCAGATGATTTCAAACAGTAAAATTTTGAAAAATTCTTGTCATATGGCGGAAGATTCACTCAAAAATTATTTCTACTTGTTGGAAAATGGGACTTTCTAGAACATGAAAGATATCGCTTGTCAAATCTAAAAGATTTTTCCAATTTTCTTCATTCCGTTCGGTATTTTTTTTTTTTTTTTAATATGCTACGAATAATAATTGTTAATGGAAGGTATATAATTTCTAAATTTAAAATATAACATAATATAAATAAAATATAATTTCTCATTAAGAAAGAATATTTTTTTCATTTTGTCAGGACATTTAAAAAAATGAAGACCAAATTATTCGATAAAAATCGACACTTTTTAAAATGTCTTTATGCATTTTCCTTTTCTCTCAACCAGAATTATCATTTTCGAGATTGATGGACATTTAGATTGAAAAAAAAGAATCTAAAAAAAAGTTGAGAAAGTTGATTCTTTTTTTACAAAATGTCGCGAGAATTTTCACACGCCGCGATAATCGTTCGCCACGAGTTGCGAGAAATATCGGTCATAATGCGGTGGCAATATCTGGCCACAGTCGCGTCACGAAAGAGTACGTGCCAGCTCGCGAACGCGACATACCGATCGTCTACGTGTCCGGGAATCCCAACGTTCGAAACGAACGGGCCGTGTCGGCTTGAATATTTCACGAACGCCACAAATTTACTGCCGCCGTGTCACGTGAACGTCGGTTTTCCAACTTCTCCAATCGTTCCCCGATTTCACCTCTTACGCGCGCCTCTCTCGAACGACTAACACGCCGATTTTCAGATCCAACTGATCAGCCAGCGCTTGCCAAGAATATTATAAAACGGGGATGATCTATTGATTTTATTACGTTCACGTTTACATTCCCTTGGCATAAAAGATTTCGTGTATTTGAAAGCTACGTCAGGGAAAATTGAAAGAAAAAAAGAAAAAATGTATCGATACAGTATTCCGACTTCAAAGTTTTTCCAAAATTCTATTTACTCAGAATATTTACGCACATATTTCAATGAAAATATTGATAATATTGTGTGAAATTATTCAAATATTATTATTTAGAGACGTTTAAAATGTATGTTGCATTCATTTCAGAGAAATTTTTCAGAGAAAATCTCCAGACGTGTTCCGAACAACGAAATTTATTTGAATCGTGAATTACAGATAGTGATTCGAAGCTTTTACAATTTCGAGATGATCGAAATTTCCTGTCTGAATCAATTATAAGCAAGTACTTTAACATACTCGAACCTAATTATATCTACATCAAAAGGTACAATATGTCTCAATACATTGATTGTAAGTGAAAGAAAATTATTAAATTAAATTTGCGACATTTCAATCCCCGGTTTCATCCGCAGAGAATTATTCATTCTGTTCAATAGTATGACTCGTTTTCCAAGAAGAGACTGAAATCAAGCTCACGTAAAGTTTGTCGGCTTTCTTAGTTTTAATAATTTTGATAAGCCGAGTAACACACTCTGGCGAGCTTTCGTGGTTCGATACTACTTTTAAAAGATTCGATTCACGCGAATGACAAAATGATTGACAAGTGCAAGTACCGAGTGTTCCAAGGTTGGAAACCAAGCGTGTATAATCTGAGCGACTGTATGTACAAGTACGTACGATTGAACATCACATCCTCGATGAGTAGCAATGGAATTTTAGAAGGCAAACGTTTTGTGTTGCATCCAACTTAGTTTCGCGAGTATATGCTGAACTCGATCCCATCGCTACCGATTATCCGAAAAACCGCTCATCCGAAAGGATTTGTCCCCCAATTAGTTCGGATAATCAAAGTTCTGGTGAAAAAAATGACAAATCTCTGGCACCGAGGAAGGACTAACAAGGATTAATAATTTTACATCGTAGTTACTCGTCGGAGGCTGTACCGAAGCATTTTCGTTCGATGCTTCAGATTTATTTAAAGAAAGAGAGAGACACATCTATCTATAAAATTAATAAAGTCGAATGGCGGTGTTTTGAGTTTGCTAGTTTCGTTACCAGTCGATTAAACTGCAAATAGCACGCGTAAACTGGGGCTGTTTTTTGTTTATGATGGCTTTGAATGTAAATTCTGAAACTGAAGTTAAACTGTTTAATACATTTTCATACGTCCACCGGCCCTTTAATTAGCGTTACGCGTTCGTGTAGGTTTGCCGGAAAATTTACAAAACCAATGAGAAAATTAATAGTAACTTGAAACGGTAACGTACAAAGTTTTGATTTTACAAAATTAGAAATTCTGACTGCAGAAATTATCTTTCAAATAAAATAATTTGTCTTTCGCGGCAAAATAAATACTAAGGCCACCATAGCTATCAAAGTGATCAAAACGATCAAATTTACAATTTTTGTCAAAAATTATACAAATACAGAATTTTGCATATTTTTAGAGATTCGCATAAAAGTGATTTTCCGCAAAGTACATGAATGAAAGCTCATGTGATTTATGTATATATATATATATATATTTTTTTTTTTTGTTTCGACAAAAATTTTACTCTTCGATGTACGTCGTTAAACGACATTTTTTAACAGAAGAAATCCGATTATTTTCCACACCTCGTACATTTAAACGAAACAACACGACTCGAGATCGAACGATACTTGCTGAACTTCCAGCAAGTTCTGAATATGTAAATTTACTTACGTCATCGATCTCCCAGCCCTGTTTCTGCCAGAAGTAACAGCTGACGAAGGACGCAGCAACTACTGCCAAAGGTCCAGCACCTCCCAGCTCGATCGCCTCGCTTCCAAATACTGCCAGCAATCCACCTCCTAACAACATCAGTACCCTCATGGGCACCATGAAAGGCTGAAACACCACAAACGGATAGATCCATTAGGATGGCCTTTGAACAGAGTTCTTCCGGCGTGGTTTTGGCTCAATTGGAGTTAACCATTTTCAAGAATGACTATTAACGTCGATTTGGATTCAGACTTTTCGATAATTTTCATAGAAATTATATTATTATATCATTGGTTATATAAGTCCTTAATGATAAAATAAGATGTATCATATTAATAATTATATTAAAATTATACTATTATATTATATTATTCATTTTCATAGAAATTACATTATTACATCATTAATTATATTAATCATTAATGATAAAATAAGATGTATCATATTAATAATTATATTAAAATTATACTATTATATTATATTATTCATTTTCATAGAAATTACATTATTACATCATTAATTATATTAATCATTAATGATAAAATAAGATGTATCATATTAATAATTATATTAAAATTATACTATTATATTATATTATTCATTTTCATAGAAATTATATTATTATATCATTAATTATATTAATAATCAATGATAAAATAGAATATTTTATATTAATAATTATATTAAAATTATACCATCATATTATATTATTCATTGGAATTATATTAAGAATGATACATAAATGTCTTGAAGAAGCAGCATCTATTTAAAAAAAAGCAGTAAGTACTGAACAACAGAATCAGCTTTTTTCAGAACTAAAATATATTAACATTTTAAAATTAACTAAGATATTTAACATTTTAAAACATATTTACGAACAGAGAACAATTTTAGTATACGCCTCGTTTAGCACGTCCTGAGAAAGATTTGAAAATAATGAATTTTCTTATAATGCAAAAATCAAGATTTTATTCGTAATTTGTACAGTATAAATATATAGTATTCAGAAACAAATATTCAAGAAAATTTGTCAACACTTACTTGGAAAAACTTATCAAAAATAAGGTTTTTTAAATCTATTGTTTGAACAAAAGGTTTCTCTGCAAAACGGTATACAGCATTAAATTCGTCGTTAAAAGACACTAATTTCACCAATTTATACGAAAAATGCTATCTTTAATAACTTTTGAGATATTCGACAAAATGTTTCGCAACCCCAACTTTGAGGATGGTTTTCACTCCTTCAACATCGACCATTGCCAATAAAAAGAAATACGTCGAATATTTTTTTGAAAACTACATTCATACAAATTTTCAATAAAATCAACGATTCAGACTTCGTTATGTTCCCTTGTTAGTAGCAGATAGATTTAATAGTAATTTTTACAGCTCTTGAATGGCGGCAGTACATTAATTTCATTAATTTAATTTACATCTACAACGATTCCTGTTAATATTCGAACTTTCAATCTTGTATCGCAAAAACTCGGTTATATATACTGTATGTAAATAATTTTTGTATATTCATGAAAGTTCGAAAGAACAAAATAGTTGTAATATTTCATAAAAATTGAAAAAAAATCTGCAGAGTACAAATAATGTGAACAAAGATAGAATATATTATGCACAAAAACTCTAAATATATCTAAAGCATATATTTAAAATGTTCAAATAATAGTTTCTCAGCTGTTTTAAAATCCAAATCGATCAAAAACCAAAAAAAAAAAAATGTTGGAAGTCTCCAAAACGCACACTCTCATTAACATTCATTTATAACATAATACTGAAATTGTCACAATTAAAAAAAAAAAAAATCGCTCAATATTAACCTCGAGCTCATTTTATAGCTTGCAACTATTTTTTCATTATGTAACAGATGTCAAAATCAAGATGCTTTTCTTCTTGAAAATGCTGTAAATTGTTATGGTATGTAGAAACGTTGAAAAATTTTTTTGATGATCTTTGATTGAGTCTATAATGGATTTATAAATTGGAGCTTCTCCTTTAAAACGATCTCTCAAAACCTGTACGATTTTTTCCAGTTTGGTATTAGATTTTGAATTTCTTAAATATGAGGATTTTTTTAATGTTTCTTTCCGTCTAATATTTAATAAGATACCTAGGAAAACGATGAAAAAAATCATACAGGGAAGGCTTTTCAAGTCTATTGTAAATTCAGCACTAAACAAAATTTTTCCATGTTTTCACGTACTATTACGACGATTTATAGCTTTTTCGAAGAAAAAGTATCTTGACTTACTCCATTACGTGATATAAAATTCATTTTAAAATCAAATAAAGTCAATAAACGACATTTTGAAAATAGAGTTTACAATCTTTAAGTTTATTATCATAAAATTATAACAAACTCAATATTTAGTGTACGTAAAAAAGTTTGTTAAAATTTCCAAAAGATTAAAATGAAATTAACCTTGAATAGTTAATTACATTTTTGTAATTATTTACTTTTATTCTTATTTATTAATAATTTACTTCTATATATAATAATTTTAATTTACTTCTATATATAATATTTTATTTTTGGAATAGTGGGGAACGATTGTAAAATCCCTACGAAGAGAAATAACTGCTGAAATAAAAGATCTCAAGAGCGAGCTTGTGCTTGAAATAAAGTTTACGACAGAAATAAAACGATCAACAAAATTTTTTTATTGTTACATGTTTATGAGAAGATTCGTTACTCGAGCATAACCCGTTGTAAACGTTTTTACAGTTACTACGTACAAAAGTGTAAACGGGAGTCTTTCGTGTTCAATACATTTTTTACTGGGTAATCTCAAATTTGCAAAAATTCATTCACGGTATATTTAAACTTTTTAAAGTGTAATAAAATTATTGAAATAAAAAATTTAAACAATTATTAATTCCGATTCGTCACTCATATTTTTCAAGTTTGCTTGGATATGAAAGACCCTAGCTTACAGAGAAAGGAATAATTATCGTGATTGGGAAAGAGATTTATGCAAAATAGAAAATTTCTTAAAATTTTCATTTATCTATTGATAATCATAATATTATAAATTATAATAAACATTAATAATTATAATATTATAAATTATATTATTAATAAATATTGATAAACCTTAATGAATATTAATTCATAAATACTAATAAATTCTAACTAATTCAATTAATATTAATTGTTAGAATATCAGAATATTATTAGAATGTTATAATATTAAAAAGCCACTTGCATAAATATTGATTAGCAAAAGATGATTGATATTTTTTTTTATTTTTTAGGTACATTCTCTAGCATCCAAAAATTAGTATTCAAATTAATATCCAGACTTTTCACTATCCAAATATTTTACTATCCTAATGTTATAGTTTTCTGTCTGTCCTTTTCTCTACTGTCACACAGTAGTAATAGTAGCTTCAATCTGATCAAAATATTGCAAATTTCATTGCTAATGATATTGTTATTTTAAGTATGTTATTTTAAATTCTCAAGATGAATAAGAAGATACACACTCTAAAGCATTTGTGGCATTAGAGAAAGAGAACATTCTCAACCTATCCAAATCTAAAAAAAATCATAAATACTTTGGAAATAAGTAGAGTAATTTTCCTTTTGTATCAAAATTGACTTTAAGAGGGTGAAATGAAATTTTGAAAATTTGCTAATTTTTCGATTTACTTGAGAAACAAGCAAAATGTAATCAATACTATACAAAATATTTGGTCGTTACAGAGCATGAATTTAAGAGTTCATCAGAGGATATCATTTACTTGTTGTATTGTATAATATCAAATTTGTTGTAGTTGTTTCCAAATATATACAATACAAACAAAATTCATTTTACCTTGTTGTAATTGATGTAAACACTCTTAAAATTCAATTGTACACCATAGAAGTTTAATATGAAACCAACATAATATAATAATGAACTATATATAATATTAACAATATCAAAATCATTATGTATCATTATATATATAAATTGACTAATATATAATATAATAATATATAATATAATATATAAATTAACTATACAATATATAATATAATAATATATAATATAATATATAAATTAACTATACAGAGTGGGTCAGAATTCGTAGTAGGGGATGAAAATCTACGTCAAAAAATAAGAAAAAAATTTGGTGTAACATTTTTTTATCTGGGGCTCGATTTTCGAGAAAATCGACTTTAAAGTTTGTTCATCTTTGTGGACGATTTAGTTGTCCATTCTTCTACCGCTGTTGTCTCCGTTCGAGATAATGTTTACAAACATTATTCATTGTGTGGTTAATTAATTTATATGATAATTAATTTTTTATTCCTTATTACTACTTTCTATTGCAATACTACAATGCAATACACTGTTACAAGTGAAAATGTCCTCCTCGTTGCTACATACATAAGTTTGCTCGATGAATTAATGATATCTGAATAGAATGTAAGCTGATATCGTTTTTTAATTTCTCGAATTCCTCCATCAGTCTTTTGCTTCAAATGTGTAATATTTGAAATATCGTCTTTATAAACTTGTTCTTTGATATGCCCCCATAGAAAGAAATCTAGAGGCGTGAGAAGATCTTGGTGGCCAACGTACCATCGCGGCCGATCCAACACGAATACGTTTGATTTAAAAAATTTTTAACCTCCCTCGTGTAATGTGGCGGTGCACCGTCATGTTGGAAAATCATACTTCTTATAGTAGCTAAGGGTATACATTTTCAATATAATTAAATATATTTTTAATATAATTTTAATTTGTTAAATATATTTAATTATTTAATTAAAAATATATTTAATTATTCAATTATTTAATTAAAAATATATTTAACAAATTAAAATTATTTTATTAATTTTCCGAATTACACAAATCTATACAAATTGGACAATTATATAAATTATACATATTCATAAATTTGTAATAAACTAAAAACGTTATAAAATCGCACAGCTTGTAATAATTTGAAACGAACGCACAGTGGGAAATTAAATTTGATTTTCGTTGGGAATGATCTTTCTCAGTCGAGAAAAATATTTTTAACACCCAACGATGGTTGCATACGGACTTCCATTTAAAGCTGATTCAATTTTAAAATTCGGCGTATTCCAAGTATCTTTCAGCTTTCTTCCCTAATCGATTTTC